CCCAGCTCCCTTCCTGCCTGGCTGCTCTCCAGCCCCTCTGGCCCAGCCTGCAGCTGCAGGGGCTTCTTGTGGCCAAAGGGCAGGACCTGGCCCTTGGCCTTGGGGAACCTCAGCCCCTTGGAATCAGCCCATGGATCCAGCGTGGCCAGGTCCCTCTGCAGAGCCCTCCTGCCTTCCAGCACATCAACACTCCCCCAGCTTGGGGTCACCTGGAATGTGCTGATGGTTCCCTCCATCCCCTCCTCCAGATCCTCAGTGCAGACACTGAACTGGGCCCTGGGGACACCCCTGGGGACGGATCCCAGCTGGATGCAGCTCCATCCCCACCACTCTCTGGGCCCTCAGCCAGTTCCTCACCCAGCCCAGAGTGCCCCTGGCCAAGCCTTTTCCAGGAGTGTCCCATGGGAGACGGTGTCCAAGGCTTTGCTGAAGTCCAGGCAGACACATCCACACCTTCCCCTCACCCACCAGGCGGGTCAGCTGGTCACAAAAGGAGCTCAGGTTGGTCAGACAGGACCTGCCCCTCCTAAACCTGTGCTGGCTGGGTCTGATCCCTTGTCCATCCTGGAGGTGCTGTGGGACTGCACTCCTTAGGATGATCTGCTCCAGAACATTGCCAGGCACTGAGGTCAGGCTGACAGGCCTGGAGTTTCTCGAGTCCTCCTTCCCGCCCTTTTTGTGGAAATGGGACACCTTTTCCTTTTCCTTTGTTATTTCACTCCAAGGCTGCTTCACAATTGATGGCCACAGATCCTTCCAAGCTCTCAGCTGGAAATTCCTGGCAGGCAGAACTGCAGGTTCTCTGCCCTAAAGTGGCTTCTGTGACGCAGCAGAATTTTCCCTGGAATTACAATGGTACCATCCAACTCACTGGTATTTTATATACAGACTACTCTTGATACTGCTCTTCTTTTTTAATTGAAAATAGCACCAATTCATGAATCACTTCGACATCAAAGACAGATCTCCACGTGAAAAGAAAACCTGCGAAAATCAGAAATAAAACCACCAACCAGCAATGGAACATTTTCTGTCATTTTCCCCCCACTTGCAAGACACATTTATTTACAGGATTTAATTCAAAGCACTGAGGATTCTTTTTCTCTCACTGTGTTCAGGTTGACATTTAAAGGTACATCAGTTGCATCAGACAGGAAACTACCTAATAATAAGCTTGTTATTAGCATTAATAACACCACTTCCAGGGCCTCATGTAGCTTCCCCTGTTCTTTCCAGCACATAAATGCTATTAATTTTACCTCATCCAAATTTGCCTCTTGGAATGATGTTATTGAAACTGTTTAATGAGTCACTGGGTTTTTTTTGAAAAAGAATAATTTAAAAGGGAATTTTAATCCGTTGCCACAGGAAGACGTGAGTTATTCCAGCTCAGTTCCACTCAGAACCATCTTCAGGGATTGGTTTTTCAGTGATGGACATGATGGGTTTCTCTCCTGTAAACATGTTCAGTGATTAGTGGTTGGAATTTTATGATTTCTTTGGGAATTCTTTGGTCAAACTTGGTTTGTGGCTTGTCTTAAAATGAGCCTCGGGTAGGCTGTGGTTGAGGTTTATATTTTTAGTCTCTCTACATGAGCTGAGTAGAAATTAGGGATAGAATTGGAAGTCTTTTAGGGTCAGTTGGCCTATTAGGACTTAAAGGGACCTTCTGAAAAGAGGGAGAGAGACTTTTTACAAGGGCAGATGGTGATGGGGTGAGGGGAAACAGCAAACTGGAAGAGGAAAGATTTACATGGGATGTTGGGAAGGAATTTCTGGCTGGAAGGATGAGGAGGACCTGGCACAGGTTGGGCAGAGAAGCTGTGGCTGCCCCTGGATCCCTGGAAGTGTCCAAGGGCAGGTTGGAGCAACCTGGGCTAGTGGAAGGTGACCCTGTCCATGGCAGAGAGTAGAACTGGATGATCTTGAAGGTCCCTTCCAACTCAAAAACCCTTTCTGTAGTTCTGTAGAAATGTTCTCCTTACTCTTCTGATGAAGCCATAAACCCAAGGAATTTGAGGCTGTGAGGAATTGGAGCAAGGGAAATTTATTGAAGAGCATTTGAATTCTGAGTGGAATCTTGTCAAGGAATAATTTCTTGTAACGTTACTGGATATAACTTTTTTTTTGTAGAAGCAAAGATTACAGAGGAATTCTGCAATTCCCAAGCATTGGGAATTGTGCATGGAGAAGGAAGGAATTCCTGGCTGGGAGGGTGGGGAGGCCCTGGCCCAGGTTGCCCAGAGAAGCTGTGGCTGCCCCTTGATCCCTGGAAGTGTCCAAGGCCAGGTTGGAGCAACCTGGGCTAGTGGAAGGTGTCCCTGCCCATGGAACTGGATGATCTTTCAGATCCCTTCCCACCCAAACCATTCTGGGATGATTCCATGATTCACTTTTTCAGCAGAGGAGGAAAAGCAGGTATTCCCACAGGGCAAGTCATCCCAGCCCACCATGGATGGGACGACTCTGGAACTGCCTCCTGTCCACTGATGATAAAGTGACTCACCTGAGCAGCTGAGATGAGGAGACACGAATTCCACCTTGTTTTCATCCAGAGCTTTCCAGCTCTTCCCTCAGGGTCCAGCACAGCTGCCCTGGGTTTGTTTTGGGCACACAAACCTTAATTAACTCCACTACTCTTTATCTGATGTGCCTGAGTGGAGCTTTCCTTGGTGGACAGATGAGCCCACAAGTGGAATTCATCCCCCTCTGGACACAACCAGCCAAGGACAATGATGCTGCCGCCTTTCAGTCGAGTTCCGTGGGATGAACTTGAACTCCAGAGAAAAGAAACTCTTAAAAGGAATTTCTTTTGTTGTTTTTTTTTTTGGCTAGTCAGCCAGAGCACTGACTATAACTGCAGAATTGCCTCACTTAAGCACATCAGCCACATAAAAGCCAAATGTTTTAGGGCTTGGCATTTGAAAAGAACTGGGGAAAATGCAGGTGGTTGGAAATTGCTGTCTGGATAAAGCCGCCAGCTCCAGCTCCCAGCCAACTTTTTTTTTACTAAAGTGCCTCATTGAATGCAGTTAACATGTAAACCCCCTCGGGGAGTATAATGATGGGGTGTTTTTACGTCCAGATTTTAAGAGCAGGGATGAAAATGCTTTTCTTTTCCCCTCACAGTTTTCATGGGTGCCGTCGCTGCCGATTTAACGCTCCGTTTCTGTCATTCAATAGATCGCTGAGCTGCCTGAGCTCGAGTGGATTGAAGATCTGCCTCTCCTCAGAGTCCTGAATCTTTTAAAAAACCCTCTACAGGTAAGGAAGAGGCTGAAGAGGAACCCAAAAAATTAGGATCTAAACCTGGGTGGTTTGGATCACACCAGAATCTTTTCAGCCTCGGTTTCTGGTCTTTGTTGAAAGTCATTGCAGGGAATGAGTGGAAGAAATGTTGATCCCTGGGTTGATTCCCAGCCTTTGTCTGGGAAATTTGTCTGAACCAAAGCTGCACGTGAATCATCTTGTTGAATATCCACACATTAATTATATTAATTCCATTTTTTAATCCATTTATACATTTGTACCCCATGATTTCTGTGTGTTAAAAGATCCCCTTTTTGCTTGATTTGAAGGCCTATTTTTCCTATTAAGCTTGAAGAAGCTTAATAACACCCCTTTTAAAATAATGTCTGTGGAATCTATATCCTCTTTTCTTCCTAGTTCTCATTGATGGCCCTCATAATATTCCTCAACTGTGGAATCAAACATTCATTTTATCAACAACATCATTTGCAAAATATCAGAATCTCTTTGACTTTGCATTTGCAATTTGTCCTGAGTGATCAAAGATGATTTTATCCTGAGCCGTGATTTCTAAATTTTGTGTGACTTTTACAGATTTCGAATGGCAGAAAGAGGAAAAAATGTCAAGAGTTGAATTTTTTCCTGTAATTGCCAGTTTTTTATTGGCTTTTATGAGAATGATCTGTTGTGACACACAATGAAATTAGCAGGAAAAAATACCTGAAATAGGCAGCTCCTGGTTCCCCATAAACTGAAGGCTTTTTTTGATTAGATGTCCTTCTCCTAAGCAAAGTCTGATCATATTCCTTTGGAGTTTTAAATTCCCATCTTTTGCCCTTTGTAGTTTCAGCCTTTTGAACAACTCAGGTCTGGCAGAAACAGCTGAGCTAGGGGGGGTTCAATTTGTGCTTGGCATTGGCACACCCAGGCTAAAAATCTGGGGATGTATTAAGGCCAATTTCATTTCAAACGATCGGAATTAAATATTAGATGGAGGAAATCGAGTATTTGGTGTCAAATTAGAAACTTTGTCCCTCAGGAACAAGCAGATTATTGGCTCTCGGCGATTTTCACGCTGCTCCGAGTCACAGAGCTGGACCTCAAGGAGATTGCAGTGAAAGAAAAGGTATGCAAACATCATGTAATTCTGGGATTTTTCTGAATAAAGACCATAAGATCTGTAAAATCTCTTCCCCCCCAAATAGTTGCTCACAGTAACTACTGGAATAAAAACCTTTCTCTGTCATGATGCCTGAAAAGTAACTTGGTTGCTGCCTGTTATATTTGGGCCCAAACCAAACTGGAACTTTTAGGATCATCAGCTGCCAGTTGGGGTTGTGTTTCAAGGAATTATCCTTTCAAAATGATCCTTTCAGGAAATTCATCACTCCCAACTTCAGTTGCATAAATATTAAGGTTCTTGTTTAATGCCAGGTTTTTTCTGGCGTGAACATGCAGGAGGGACGACACCAGAGTGTCATTTACCCCAACTGGCAGCTGTTGATCTTGCTCTTTATCTTAAGTGCCAACCTGTTTGCCTCCTAATATAAATTTTAATATATTAACAACATTTTTCCTTCTCTGTGGACTGTCAAAATTAAGCCTGGGTGGCTGGTTTAGACTGGCACTTTTGGGTGATGAAAGTTATTCCAGAAAATCCTCTCCTCGGGTTATTTTAGGATATCTCAGCCTCGTGAATTCTCTTGGATTTGGAGGCACCAGCTCTTCTGTCTCGCTGCCACAAAATGGACATTCAGAAATGTTTTAGTTTAGATCAAAAATGCAGCAGATCAGAAGTTTAGATCAGTAGTTGAGCTCAGAAATGTGGTTTGGAAGGGAAACTCCTGATTGCTCATGTTTGATTCTTGTTGTGGAATAGTCTTGTATTACATGAACTAGAGCTCTTTTGGGATAACCTTGACCAGATGATGTGCACCAGGATGCACCTACTGTGCTCCCAGCCACTAATTCCAGCACCAAATTAAAGCTAAAATGGAATTGCCTCCCCTTCTCCCAGAAGAGCGTGGACATTGGATTCCAAGATGGAATCCAATTCCACCATAACCCGTCCTAATATAGGTATAACTGCCATGAATTATAGAATACCAGGTTGGAAGGGACCTCATGGATCATCTGGTCCAACCTTTTTTTGGGAAAACAACCATAAAAGATGGCCCAGCACCTTTGTTCAGCCCGATCTTAAAAGTGCCCAACACTGGGAATTCACCACTTCCCTGGGGAGGTTATCAGAAAATCCAGGATGGTTTGGGTTGGAAGGGACCTTAAAGATCATCTCATTCCAACCCCCTGCCATGGGCAGGGACACCTTCCACTATCCCAGGTTGCTCCAAGCCCTGTCCAACCTGGCCTTGAATATTCCAATGATTGTTCTCACTATGAATATTTTATCTCTTGTATCCAACTAGAATCCTTTCAGGCTTCCTGGTCCCTTGTCTGGACCCTCTCCAGCCTGTCCACATATTTTTTGTATACCAGGAACCAAAACTGAGCCCAAAATTCCAGGTGTGGCCTGGCAAGTGCTGAGCAGAGCGGGATAACAACTCCTTGTGATACAACCTGCTCACTCCTACTGAGCTTGTTCTCCCCCAGGTCCCTTCCTGGCAGATCCCAGGTAGATCCCAGCCTGTGTTTCATTCCTAAATTATGTGTTTTCCCAGGTGCAAAACCTTCCACTTGTCATTATTGAGCTTCACAAGGTTCTGCCATCAGGGATTTGCAGCTGGTTGATATTTGATGCTTTACATTAAGTCCTTACCTTATTTCTGAGTGTGTAACATTTAACAACACCCAAAAATACACAGCTCCTTCCAACAGAAGGGATGGAGGGAATCCTTGGAATCTGAGTGCTCTTCCTCCCAGGAAAGACAGAAATGCACTGTCAGGAGAAAACCAGAGTTTGCTTGTTTTCTTTATTATTTCTCTTCCTTTTCTGAATGGCTCCAGTCCCTGAGGATTTGAGTTTGGCATCTTCCACCAGCACTGAGAGGATGCAAATTAACGGATAATTAAAACCTAAGCAAAATCACTTTGTGGCATCCTGTTTTCTTCCCCGGGAAAAGGTTGAATATATTAAAGATGGTGAGTTATATCTGGCTGCCTTCCATCCATCCATCCATCCATCCATCAAAGTCTGCCTAAATCTCCTGGAAAGATTTATGTGGCAAGCCCAGCACAAAGACTGACCCCCAGAAACACAAATCCATCATTATTCACAGGGACCTTTGAAGCAAAATTGCAGCTGGAAGCGATTCCATCACTGCTTTTCTTTCTTTTTGCCCCTCTAAACTGTGGGAACAGGTTGCTGCTGTGAATAAATATGATCCTCCTCCAGAAGTTGTTGCTGCAGAGGATCACAGATCTCTGGTGATATTCCACATGATGCAGCCCCAGAAAATCCTGCACAGGTGAGTTCACCTCATTTCCCAGCTGCTCCTCAGGGTGGCACTCAAGTAAAGCTCAATCCGTTGGCATTTTTAGAGGGACTTTTTTATGGCCTCTAAATTAATCAGGGGAAAGGAGGGGGGAAGTTCTGTCCTATTCCAGTGGCAGCCTGGAAATGAGGCAAATCTGATTTGCTCCAAATTGCTGATGAAACCAAGTTCCTCATTCACCTCCAAAATCTGAGACAGATTGGCCACAGCTCCACCTCTCTCAAACAATCTGTTGGAGCAGATGGCCCTTTGCACCACAAACGAGAGCTGCAAAATTCCCACCGATGCCCAGAGGCACTTGGAAAAATCCCTGGAGGCACAAGAGCTGTGAAACATCCCCTTTCCCGTCCTGCTGACACCTTCCCTTCCCACTCCTGGCATCCCATTGTGAACAAAATGCCTTTTTTTTTTTTTTTGCATCTTTTATATTCGTGAGGTGAATTTTTTTTCAGTTTGTACCAAAGGAAGTCCAGTTTCTTCTGCCATTTTGGGAGGAGAGGATGCGACTCAAAACATGGGAAAGGCACATCCATGCTCTTTTTCCAGTGTTGCCTTTCCTGTGCCAGGTGGAATCTCAGCCTAGAATCTCAGCTAGAAAATGGAATTGCCCATATTTGCCTCTTTTCAGATGTGTTTTCGGGGTATTTGCCTGAAGAATTCTTGGAAAACTCTTTGAAATACCTTTCAAATGGAACATACTATAAATACATATGGTTATATATTATGTATATAAATATATTCTTATGTTGGCCCCAAAGGGCACTAGGACCAACCTTTGAGCCTCACCCCCTGTTTTAGCACCATTTTGGATCCTTAATTCATTACTGAGTAACCTGATAGAAAATCCACAATTTAGCAACTCAGAAATTGGTATTTTTAGGATATCTTTGTTGTGATTCTTATGTTTTCTGGGATTGTCCACGAAAGACAGGACCATAACTCTGAGAATTCTATTAAAAAAAACCCCAACAAACAAAGATTATTTATTTCTTTGCAAGGATGGAGATTTCTTAAAAAAAAACAACCTGTGATTAGCTTATTTTTCTTCTTAAAAAAAACCCAAAAAACCCAAACCCTAAAGGCATGGATTTCTTCCAGTGCAGACTGTGTTTAAATATTTGCTTCCTGGAGTTTGTAATTGCTGGAAAGAAAGGAATTGTGTCTTGTGCCAGAGGCTTTGTGCACACAAACATACAAACACCCAGCCCAGCATTTATGGGACTGACCCAAATTGTTAACGATGCTCAGCTGGAGAGCACAAACCAGTCATAGAATCATAGAATCATAGAATCAGCTGGGTTGGAAGGGACCTCTGAGATCATCCAGTCCAACCCTTGATCCAACCCCGCCGTGGTTCCCAGCCCATGGCACTGATGCCACATCCAGTCTCTTTTTAAAAATCTCCAGGGACGGAGAATCCACGCCCTCCCTGGGCAGCCCATTCCAATGGCTGAGCACCCTCTCTGCAAAGAAATTCTTTCTAATCTCCAACCTAAACCTCCCCTGGCACAGCTGAAGACCAAGCTGATGGTTGTCTTGCTGATGGTTGCCTGGGAAAAGAGACCAACCTCCCCCCGGCTCCCCCCTCCTGTCAGGGAGTTGCAGAGAGTGAGGAGGTCTCCCCTGAGCCTCCTCCTCTCCAGGCTGAGCCCCCCCCAGCTCCCTCAGCCTCTCCTCATAGGACTTGTACTTGAGTCCCTTCCCCAGCCTCGCTGCTCTCCTCTGGACCTGCTCCAGCCCCTCAATGTCCTTCCTGAACTGAGGGCCCAGAACTGGACACAGCACTCCAGGGGTGGCCTCACCAGTGCGGAGTCCAGGGGAAGAATCACTTCCTTGGACCTGTTGGCCACACTGTTCCTGAGCCAGGCCACGACCCATTGGCCTTCTTGGCCACCTGGGCACACTCTGGCTCATGTTCAGCTTCCTGTCCATCCCCACTCCCAGCTCCCTTCCTGCCTGGCTGCTCTCCAGCCCCTCTGGCCCACCTGGAGCTGCAGGGGCTTCTTGTGGCCAAAGGGCAGGACCCGGCCCTTGGCCTTGGGGAACCTCATCCTGTTGGAATCAGCCCAACTCTCCAGCCTGTCCAGGTCCCAGTCGTTAATGAAATCTTCCTAATGAGGATACTTGATGGCCTTTTCACCTCTAAAATGCTTCTTGGACCCAGATTGGGGTGGTTCATTTGCACCTCTCTCTTTCTTTTGATGATTAATCCCGGTTTAGGAACGTCTCTGGTACAAATAAAACCTGAAAAAACGGAGCAGAGAGTTCTGTCACCCCCAAAACATTCCCTTCTCTCTCTGTGTCTCGGGATTTTTAATCAACAAATGTGTTGTTTTCCCTCCTGGAAGTGCAGGTGACATTGGAAAAGGGAGGTTGATCATAATTCCAGCTGCTCTCCAGGAATTTCGTAGCAGAGGGTTCTTCACTCTGTTGGGCCAGGACACGATGGAATTGGTACCTGGCTTTAGAGGAGAAACAGAGCATGATTATTTTTGACAATTAAAGTAATTAACCACTGGAACAAAGTACCAGGAGTCCTCCACAACTGGAACATTTTTAATTAAGATGTGCCCTAATGGAACCCCGGGTATCAGGCTGGAAACGAGCACCGACTCAGGGAAATCCTGCAGCCAGTGTGACGAGGGGAGGCTGATTTAGGTGATCTCAAAAATCCCTTCTGGCCTTAAAAACTATTAATCTATCCCAGCAGTGAGTCACTGTATTCACAGAGACACAGAAAGTTGAACTATGAGCCTAAAACGAGCCTAAAATGAGCCTAAATGAGCCTAAAAATCTTTAGGACACGCTTCTTACAAGCTGTAGGGATCCCAAAAATTGGAATTAAACTTTGGAGAACCAGCAATTGATGATGTAATGAAAGATAACTTTGTGGATGGTATTATGGAAATTTTGTGGATGTCCCATTCCTGGAAGTGTCCAAGTCCAGGTTCGAGCAACCTGGGATAGTGGAAGGTGTCGGGGTTGGAACTGGATGGTCTTGAAGATCCCTTCCATCCCAAATCATTTTGTGGTTCCATAGAAATGTTCTCCATGTTCTTCTGGTGAAACCATAAATCCAAGGAATGTGAGGCTGTGGGGAGTTAGAGCAGTGGGAATTTCTTGAAGAGAATTTGAATTCTGAGTGGAATCTTGTCAAGGAATCCTGTAAAAGTAAAGATTACACAGGAATTCTGCAATTCCCGAGCATTTACCAGCATCTGTGCATGGAGAAGGAAGGAATTCCTGTCTGGGAGGGTGGGGAGGCCCTGGAATGGATTTCCCAGAGAAGCTGTGGCTGCCTGTGGATCCCTGGAAGTGTCCAAGGCCAGGTTGGAGCAACCTGGGCTAGTGGAAGGTGTCAGAGTTGCTATGTCTTGGTCCATTTTGTTGTTTCCAAGCTTCTTTCCCAGAATTCCCATCTTTAAATGGCTCTTTGATAAAGGACTTTTAAAATATATTTTTTTCCTTCTCCACCATTTGAAATATATTGTTATAATAAGCTTTTTGTGCTAATTATATCCATATATAATATATATATTTGTGCTAATTATATCCCTACATATTATATCCATAGTATGAGTAGTATAATATCCATTATATCCACATAGTCTGGTAGATAACAGAGCTGGTTTGCTGATCCTAAAATAGGAGTAAAGCCATTATTTTGGAATCTTTTCCCTCCATGCTTCTGTTGGTTGGCTCTCATTACTCTTACACTATTTGTAAGAAGAATGGTAAAAGAAATAAACTCTGTTTTCAGGTAAATCATATTAAATGGGCATACAGGTAGTTTTCTTCCCCTTAAAATTAGTTCATTAATTATTTCTTAATAAAAGAATTTATTGATTAAAAATAAATGTAAATTTATAAATAAATAAAAATAAGTGGGTTTGGAATGATTTCAACTCTTTCCTGACACGTTCCCAAGTGGCAAAACCTCGCTGAGACCTCAAAATGAAGAGCCCAAAGTTCCATCCAATTTTTAAATGAATTGCTGGACACTCCAAAGGGCAGAAATGCTCTTCACTCTCCCGTTTGCAGCCGGAAGCAGGGGAATTTAAGGATCTAAACCTCTGCTCAGCATGGAGAAAATGGAGTTTGGGTTCTTTTATTGGGGTGTTATTTGTGTTCAGGGGAGTTTGAAGGATCTTTAAGTGGTTGAATTAAAGAATTCTTTATAAATCGCCACCTTCCTGGGGCAGAGTCACCAGGTTACATCCAGGAGAGGGGAAAAGGGCTGGAGGATTAAATCCAGATTAAATCCAGGTTCGTCATCCTGATCATTAAAATATTCTACACCTGCAACAAGCCTTGGAAAAAACCCTTCAACAAACCCCAGAACTGCAGAGGGAGCTTTAGAAAAAAAAAAAAAGCTGTGAATGGGAAGAAATGATCCTAAATGAAGAAATGATCCTAAATGAAGAAATGATCCTAAATGAAGAAATGATCCTAAATATGACATTATTCCTTTGGCAAAAGACACTCGGGGGTTTTTAACTCAAGGGGGGGTTTTTTTGGTGCCCTTTTTATGTTTAGGGCACCTCAAAGAGCCCTGATTTTTTGTGATCATTAAAATATTCCACACCTGCAACAAGCCTGGGAAAAAACTCTTCAACAAAGCCCAGAACTGCAGAGGGAGCTTTAAAAAAAAAAAATGGAGGTTTTTTGGCGCTGTTTTTACATTTAGGGCACCTCAAAGAGCCCTGATTTTTTGTGAACATCTCAACAGACAGCTGAGGTGAGGAAGTGAGGATAAAAACCTTCCCACAGAGTGATAAAATTGCTCCTTATTTTCCTTTCTTGTAGCACTTTGCCTGACCTGGACTCTTCCTACCCCATGCTGGTGTTGGTGGGCCCCGTGTCCTGTGGGAGGAGGGAACTCACTCATAAGATCTGCAGGCAGTTCAACAATTTCTTCAGATTCGGGTAAGTTTGCTCCCAAAAATTCCAAAGAACACCAAAAGAATTCCAGAGAACTCCAGGCTGGAATTGCTGCTGGCTTGGGTTCTTTTTTTTCCCCCTCTAAAGAAGTTAAAACCGACAATAAAAATGTTTGTTCTGATGTGTTTTTAGCTCTTCCCGAGCCTCCATTGCCTGAAGTCATCAAATACTTCCTGAAAAAAAAAAAATTAGATTATCCTGGTGTTTTCAAAGGTGAACAGCAGACAAAAAAACCCCATAAAAATAAAAATGTGGCTTTTAGTGCTCCTTTTATTGAGCTTTTCTCTCTGTGCTTGCTGGTGCCCCTCAGACTGAGCAGCTGGTTGGATCTGGGTGCATTTCTCTTGATTTTGGGGATGTGCCTGCGTATAAAACATCAAAATGCACCCAAAGTCCGGGAAAGGGAGGAAATGCATTTCCTGAATGAGTTTATTGGCCTGTGAGTAGAGTTATTAAAGAAAATAGCACCTTCCAGACTCCACCAGCTCCTGGAAACACTAATTCACCCTGAATTCATAGAATCATAGAATCATAGAATCAGCTGGGTTGGAAGGGACCTCCATGATCATCAAGTCCAACCCTCGATCCAACCCCGCCGTGGTTCCCAGCCCATGGCACTGATGCCACATCCAGTCTGTCCTTAAACACCTCCAGGGACGGAGAATCCACCACTTCCCTGGGCAGCCCATTCCAATGGCTGAGCACCCTCTCTGCAAAGAAATTCTTCCTGATCTCCAACCTAAACCTCCCCTGGCACATCTTAAGACCGAGCCCTCTTGTCCTACTGATCCCTGCCTGGGAAAAGAGACCAACCCCCCCTGGCTCCCCCCTCCTGTCAGGGAGTTGCAGAGAGTGAGGAGGTCTCCCCTGAGCCTCCTCCTCTCCAGGCTGAGCCCCCCCAGCTCCCTCAGCCTCTCCTCACAGCACTTGTGCTCCAGTCCCTTCCCCAGCCTCGCTGCTCTTCTCTGCCCCTGCTCCAGCCCCTCCAGGGCCTTCCTGAGCTCAGGGCCCAGAGCTGGACACAGCACTCCAGGGGTGGCCTCCCCAGTGCTGAGTCCAGGGGCAGAGTCACTTCCTTGGACCTTCCTCAGCCAGCCCAGCAGCCATTGGCCCTCTTGCCCCCCTGGCCACACTCGGGCTCCTCTTCAGCTCCCTGCCCAGCCCAACTCCCAGCTCCCTTCCTGCCTGGCTGCTCTCCAGCCCCTCTGGCCCAGCTTGGAGCTGCAGGGGCTTCTTGTGGCCAAAGGGCAGGACCCGGCCCTTGGCCTTGGGGAACCTCATCCTGTTGGAATCAGCCCAACTCTCCAACCTATCCAGGTCCCTCTGCAGAGCCCTCCTGACTTCCAGCTGATTGACACTCCCCCCCGGCTTGGTGTCACCTGCCAATGTGCTGCTGATGGACTCAATCCCCTCATCTAAATCATCAATAAAGACATTAAACAGAATTGGGCCCAGCCCTGATCCCTGGGGACACCACTGGGGGCGGATCCCAACTGGATGCAGCTCCATCCCCACCACTCTCTGGGCCCTCAGCCAGTTCCTAAGCCAGCACAGTTATGAGCCTTGGGCTCCTTGGAAACTTCTCCTTTCCCAAGGGAATTCCAGCCTGGATGCCTAAAACTGAAAAATGGATGATTTTAATAATTTGAGGCCTAAACTGAGGTGGTGCAACATGTTCCTCTTCCTCCCACCCATTCCATTCTTCCCAGTTCCTGACTTTTCATAGATCCTGTAGCACTCCCTGGTCTTTATTCCTGGGATATTGTCTCTCTTCTATATATTCCCAATTTCTTTTTATTGCCCTAATTTAGCCATTCATTTTTAACCAGACTTCTTAAAGAAAGAGGTTGTGTGACTCTAAAAATATTTTTTTTTTTCCTTTCTTTAAAGCAACTTCTGTGGTTTTTTTCCTACTGGAAATTACAAATGAATAAGATGCCAATTGAAATTTTCCAATGTGTGTTCTTTTAAAGAGCATTGTTTTTATGCTTGTCTGTGTTTTATTTCCTAAAACTTTCCTGCACGAGGGGGAAAATAAAAAAAAAAAAATTAAAAAAAAAAAAAAAAAAGGAGAGAGACAGAATCTTAACGGAGCAGAAAATTGCAACCATAAAGCAAAGTTGTATTTTAATTATTCAGGGGAGATTTAAAGCAATTTTATGGCTTGCACTTCTTGGTTTCAAACACTCATTAAAAATGTATTTCATGCAAGACACTCTGGCAGTTGGAATGTAAACATGGCCTTGCAATTAAAAAAAAAAAAAGGGTTGTAATGTAGAAAAAAGTGTTTTAAAAAAAAGAAATTGGACCCTCGAACCATCTGGCTGGTGCTCAGCAGTGACCTTTAAAGCTGGATGTGTTCACGTTATCTTAGGGGAAAATCAAACCTTTGAAAAGGGGAATTTTCCAGAGTCCTGTGTGGAACTCCTTGTTCTCATGTGCTGATTGAAAAAAAAAGAAAAAAAAAGAAAAAAAAGTGGCACCTTCTAAGGTTATCACAGCAAAGATCTGTCAAGCTCTACCTTGTACACTGAATTTCTTGATGGTTTCTTGAAGCATAAAGGAGGAGTAAAATATCATTGCCAAAGAGAACTGACCTAAAATATCATTTCCAAGTGAGCCACTGAATACTTGAGTCTAAAATTGCTTCCTGCATTCACTTGGCTGATTTTGGGGGGGTGTTTTTGGGTGGTTTTTTTAGTGGTCCATCCTGGTAGGAAGCTCATGGAGCTGAGCTTTATCCCGTGGGTAATTATTTCCCACTTAATCCCCCCTGATTTCAGGATTGTTTCTCCCCTTACTCTCAAGAAATCTGCCTAAAGATTGGGCTTTATATTTGTTTTTTAACCTCCCAGTTCAGCCCAAGTCCTGCTCTGCTTTTCCATATTTAAGATTTGTCTTTTATATCAGCCCACAACCCCCCAGAGCTGGGAAAAAAAAATTGGATTTATCATTTTTCTGTTCCCAGGGTTCCTGTGACAGCTCCAGTTCAGGCCTTGCTGGGCTGGGAGGGGGGGGGGATTTATAACCCAAATTTAATGTTATATTTAACCTTTTTCTCTTTGTTTTTGTATTTATGGGTTAATCCTTCAAACATGCAGCATTAGTGGGTTGATTTGCACCCCTGTTTCTCATATTTCTTGACCTCTTACAAATAAAATGAATTATGGGATCCTCCTTCCCCACCCCACCCCCCCTTTCCCATATTCCACAGCTGCTTCTATGATGGAAAACAGGTTATTTCTTTATTATCCCATATATTTTCCAGTCCCTGTCACACCACCAGGGGACCTTATTTTGGGGAAGAAAACAGGCTGGATTATTATTTCATCTCTCAAGAAGCATTTAAGGAAATGGTGGATACAGTAAGTACCTGCCTCATATCCTTGGAGCCCTTTTCCTGCTCCCAGAGTTGTCCAGGGCTGATTTATTTTATTTTTTATCTGAAGTTTGGGTCTGTGTGTTCCATTCCAGAGCTGTGTTTTTATATATTTATTTTTTATTTTATTTTTTTCCAACATTTCCCAGCCACCCTGCAGAGAATTCTTTGCAAGTTTAACAAATTCCCCCTGAAGGAATATTTTGGTTTGTTTTGTTTTGTTTTCTGCAGGATTTGTGCCTCCAGCTACTCTTTTCTGATGCTTTTTTTTTGCTAGAAAACTTGGGCTTGAAAAGCCACAACAAGGGAGACAACAGAGCCTTAAACAGCTGCTCTGGTCCTTAATAACAATCAAGGAGTTTAATTTTAAAAGCAAATAATTATAGATCTTTCCAGACATCCTATGGGAAACAGAGTTGTGAGGTTTTTACCTTGGAAACGTCCTGGCCAATTCCAGTCCTTCCTTTTCTTTGGAATCTTCTATTTTCTGTGGTTTGATGGAATATCAAAAAAAGGAATATCATAAAAAGGATCTTGCTTTCTTTGCAGCATGGATGACTATCCCACTAATTCTGAGATGCATCAGCAGGATATTGGTGTTTTATTATCCATGGCCAAGGTGCAACCCCAAATCTCTGCAAATTTTGGGCTCTCCTTGGCCTCGTTCTTGGTGATTTTAAACTCCAAGAAACTTTGTAGGGAGAGAAAGCAAAGCCCAGAGGGATTATTCTCGTTCAAGGAAATTGCTCCCCTTGGAAATATTTCCCTTGAAATAATTCCCTTGGCTGTTTTGAATTCCAGGGGAAGTTTCTAGCAACCTATAAATACAGTGGCCACCACTATGGATTGGGAAGAGACACTTTGGAATCCATTGCCAGGGAAGGGCTCGGGACCTGCGTTCACTTGGAAATCGAGGTAGGAATTGACCTCCCGTGTCACCATTTTAATGGGATCGGCGTCTTCTCCCAGGGAAAGAGGGTCAGGACGAGAGGAAACGGCCTCAGGTTGTGCCAGGGGAGGTTTGGGTTGGATATTAGGGAAAAATTTCCTCATGGAAAGGGTGGTCGAGCGTTAAATCCCCCTGGAGGGATTTAAAATCCACGTGGATGTGGCGCTCGGGGATGTGGTTTAATGGTGGCCTTGGCAGGCTGGACTTCATGATCTTGGAGGTCTTTTCCAACCTTAATAATTCCATGGATTTTTCTGCTCTCCTTAAAATTTCTGGCCTGTTTTTTCCATCCTCAGCAGCCCCATCTCCCCCCCCCCATCTCCTCCCATCACCAGCCCTTCCCAGCACAGCATCCTCAGCTTTCCACCCGTCCACACCTCATTCCAGACCATCCACACCTCATTCCAGAGCTACAAATCCCCCCTAAAAGAAAGTCATCTTCGCTGCTGAAGCCTCAGAACTTCGGGCCTGAGGCAAAAATTTGGGCAGAACTGTCAAAAAATGTGATTTATTTGAGATTTTTCCCCCTCCCTGAGGTTTCTCAGGTGCAGGTGCACAGGTGGCAGGATCTCAGAAGTCCTGCTGGGGGGAAGAAACTGGGTCACAAAGTGTCAAAACCTCTCTCTTGGAGTCCCAAAAGCCCAAAGTTTTAAGCTAATTTTCTAATTAAGTATTTCTCATTATCTTAGATCAAACATTTACTAGCCCAGGGTTGAGGTGACACAAAAGGAAAGGCCGTTTCCTTCTGAATTCTTTCCACAAATTTAAGCTCCATCTCTTTGAGATCCCAAAAATGA